CCGGGCATCTTGATTGGTATTTCCTTCTGAGGCTGCTCTATCATCCTTCTGTTGTGCTGAGCAGGCCTAAGATAATCCTTCTGCCTGGCTCTGTCTCGGGATGAGGTTCCAATCCTGTCAAAAACACTAGGTGTGGGCTGATTCTGTCTGTCCAGAACCACTTCTAACTCAGTTTCACACTTGCACTTGCTGCAGAGCACTACCCCAGCTGAGATAATTGCCATTGGCCTTTCATTAGTTTCCCTTGTGACTGCTTTGCCTCTACTGGAGCTAGCTTCCGTCGTTGGTCTGCTTCTCTTCTGTTCTGGCCAATTTAAGTTGACCATGTTGACTTGTGGCTGGGGAAAAGGATCTATTGTGGCTGATGGAGGTTTCTCCGCCAGTTTTAGCCTTCCTACTGTTATTCCCTCTCGTATGACATCTCTGAAAGCAACACAACTGTTGGTGGAATGGTTCCAAGAGTTGTGTCACCTACAATACTGTCTGCCCTTGAGTTCTTCTGGCTTGGGCAATCTATGAGGTGTCTCTATTACCTTCTGTAGTAGCATATCATCAAACAAGGCATCCACATTGGTCAGATCGAAGGAATAGACCTTGTTCTGTATTTGTTTGTTTGGAACAAACCCTCCAATGAATGGTGGCGGCTTCTGGTCCTTTGGAGGCTTTGTAAGAGCCTTGTAGTTGATGGGATGTTTTAATTTTTCCATATTTGTCACTGCAATCTCTCTTTCCTCTGAGCCCTCTATGTCCTCTTTTGATTCTACCTCAACCAAATGGACTGAAGAAGAAGGGGTCTTGTAGTATGTGCCTTTGGAGGAATTCCTCTTCTGTTGTTCTTCCCTGAGCAACTCCTCATACTTGGACACTTTGTCAGCTAGTTCTGCCAGGTCTCCAAATAGCATCCCATCAAACCTTTTTTCTCAGAGAGATTTTAAGAGCAGCTTGAGCCATCTGGATGGAATGTCTTTCTTCCATAGGGATCCGACATTTCATTTTGAGCTTTCTGAACTTAGTTATAAAGTCCTGAGCAAATTCATCTTAACTATGCTTGAGGGTAGCAAGATCACTGATGGTGACTTCTGGCTGGATCCTGAAGCAGTAGTCATGAACAATGTTTTCCATCTACTCCCAAGTTTGAACATAATTGGCTGGTAGACTGGTGTACCAGGTGAATTCCCAAAAAGCCTTAGCTTTAACAGAGGGTTATTCTCTATGGCTATACACTAGACAAAAAACCTGCCTATATGTTCGATTGACGAAGCATGGGGATCTTCTCCGTTGAACAAGGTAAAGTTTGGCACCTTGAAACCTGGGGAGAGAGGTATTTGATCAATATAAGCCGGATATGGCTTTCTGTAAGTGGGCCTCTCTCCTCTCCTGGCTTTAGGCTCCATCATTCTCTGTAGTGCCCCCATGTCATTCAGAGTATTGACAGGGTGCAGATTTCGTCCCTGTTCTGGCTGGACTTGGTCAATCCTTTGATCCAATCTGTATGGCCTGGGCAAAACTTCCTCCCTGTGTTCTTCCTCTTCTTCAACATCTAGATGATTCCTCCAGTTTAGCCCTGGTCTGTTCCTATCATTGTTGCCAAAGGGGTTAATTCCCCCTCTGCCTCTTCTGCCTCTTGCTAGTGGAGGGAATGGATTAGGATCCATTCTTCTAGGCCTATAAAGTGGCACAGCTGGTGCCTCAGGTAGAAGTGCCAACGGTTGATCACGTGGGGCCACGGGTTGTGGAATAGGTGGAGGTTCTGGCTGATTTTGAAGAGCCTGAACCGGCGCAAGGCGGATTGAGGCCTCACGTTCTTGGAAGGGAAGGGCTCCTCCCCTCTGTCCAACATGGATCTCTTCATGCCCTGGTATTCCAGCTATTTATGCAATGAGAGGGTTCTCCTGGTATGGCCACGCTAATCCTAGTATAGGGCCATAAGGAAGGTCTAGCTGCTAGACTACAGCATCCGGATTTGGAATTCTGGCCATGGCAGCTTCACGGTCCTTTGTGAACTGCCTGTTAACCTGCCATTGCATCATGGCTGTCATGTTATTGAGAGTATACTGGCTCATTTGTGTTGTAACCTCCTGTCGGAATACAGATTCCTGTATTTGATTCATCCTCTTGAGCCGACCCTGGAACGTCTGCTTCTGGTACTGCCGTGGGCTGATTGTCTGGCGTCACTTTCTTCTAACTCCAGACTTTCCCTGAGAGCTACCTGATTTATCTCCATGGCATGGTGCGGGTTCTGGCTAGAGCTTCTAATATTCATAAACTTGAGAAGAATTCTGTCAAAGTATGTATACTGAGAAGTCCCACCGGGCGTGCCAAATTGTTCACTTGTTTTATTTTTGCTCATGTGATGGAAGGGTAAAATTTTCCACTGCCCTGAAAACCATTGACTGGTCAACAAATCAACTTTTTTTGGTGTGCGAGCATGCCACTTCTAGCAATAAAAATCCTAGCAAACTTCTTAAAAATGGATAACTTGCGCCCCAAGTTACTGATTTCTAAACAAGTGATTGTGAATTTGGGTGAGGAATATCTCCCAAGTAAGTTCTTTTTTTGCCTCAGGGCGGTAAAAACTTCACAATTTATCACGGTACAAGGTTGGTAGTTCTGGCCAAAATAAATGATAATAAAGAGGACTGTTTTTAGGCAGAACTGCCCTTTACAAGACTTGGAAGGAAAAAATCAATCCTAGAAAGACAAAAAGAAGGCTGGAATTCCATATCTGCCTGGATAGAAGCTTCTGATCCGGGCTGGA